TTTGCTTGGATACTAGGACTTTAGCTTTTTGCCAACTCATGGGGTTTCCGTATTAAACGACTAAAAGTTAAACTTTTAGCAGGGGAGCAGAAAGCAACCGAGTACCCATATGTAGTTAAGGTTCCAGAAGGTTAGCTCTCACCAATTAACGTGGAAGCTGACGTTCGGGGGGTCCTGGTTTGGACCATTTTCTTTGAAAGGAGTGGTGCCAGGATCACCTTATTTTTGGACCCAAACTGGGCAAGTCAGTCAGTGGCAAGCAAGGTTGGGCCAGCTTGTCTAAAAAATCTAGAGGTTGATTCCCCATTCTTTTCCAACCATCGTTTTTTTTTTTCAAAAACCGGCTGTTTCACCTGGGTTTAATTTTATGGTTTCCTGAAAAGACGGATCAATGGAAATAATGGGGAAGATACCCCTAGACAAATGTTGTAACCGACATTGTTTGGTTTGTCGGACCTCCTTATGGGTTCCCCACGGGAATCAGGTTGGTTGTTGGTTGTTTGCACCAAGTTCGCCCAACTCTCCCAATGTGAGGCGTACTATGTTGACAGCGTTGCCGTCTACATGGTGGCCGTGATGCATGCGAGGCCGATTGATGAGACGACAAAGAGGGTTTCCCTCCAAATATTTTGTATTTGAGGGTTGGCTAAATATCAATCAGAATCTGAACTTGCTATACTCGGCGTTTTGGAAACACTCTGGGCCTGTGTGATTTGTTGAAGGCGTGCCTTATTTCAAGGCATTGGAGGCAAAACCGAGTTTGAAAACCTCTCGGGTCTTATTTAAAAGCGGTGTCAGGAAGCTTTGGCAATTGGCAGTCAGAGGTGTGGTACGAGTTAGACGTTGCACATGAGTTCACAGATTTCATCCTTGCGCTAGTCTCATGGTCCTTTTCCTAGGCCACCCAAAGCACACCACCCGCCCCCCCCCCCCGAACAAATAAATAAATCCAAAAATGGCATGTTATTTTGTTTTTTCCGCTGGGGTGTTTGGCTGTGTGTGTGATGGTGATTGCAAGCTCACCTGGGAGGTAAACAAGCGCGGGCCCCATTATGGTTTCTTAGTTGGGGGCCCTATGTATACAAGAATCAGACTGTTCAAGAGGAGCCGGCGATAGGATTGTGGGTGATATATATATATATATAGTTATCTTGGAAGAGGTAAACTTCTCATGTTCCAAAAAGGAAGCCACCATGATGCCATCATCAAGCCGAGTTGGGAGGGGACCAACTATTTGGACACACACACACACACTCGCACACATGTACTATTGTCACAACACCAAGTCATAATCTTTGCCATCCATGACTCAGCTGTTCCCTTGCAAAGGGGTGAAGGTTGCTTCTTTTGTGTCGGTGAATGATTACATGTCATCGAGATGACATGTAATCTTTGGAGGGAACCGTGACCACTACTGGAGGCTATGGCCATCGGTTTTCATGACTTCCAGAGTTTTGCAGCTGGTCAGGATTGTTTGGTGCACCTTTGCAAGAAGGGGTGACGCACCTGGCACTTGTGTGGTTCGACCAACCCACAAAAAGGAGTCCCGACCACCCCCCCCCAAAGCAGGTATCGGCCATGCCGAAAAGGGGTGCCAAAAAGGAGCACCTTTGTCACCTAGAAAGGGAGTAAGGAGCCACCGACCTCCATGGCTATTCGGTGTGAATGAACTGCTTGACTCATCACTGACAAAAGCTCACTCCCGTTCGAGTTCCGTTTTGGACTCGAAACAGTTTGGGATTGGACAATTTCAGGGGCGAACAATTGTTCGCCAGTGAGCAACAGGCTTGTTGTGACTGCATGTTCTGATGTCTTCTTCCAGTACATTCTTTCAATGGAGTGCTCACCTGGCCTTTGGGCCAGCTGACTACCCCGTTCGAGATTTATATTGAGGGAGACGCGCAGAACAAAAACACGTACGTCAAGGGGTTCTCCCTTGGAAACAAATTAACTTGCCAGATCGAGCTTCAGGTTCGAATATTTCTGGGTGCTGCATAGCAAGCACTAGTTCTAGCTTCCAAAAGAAAACCGGCAGAGAGGTGGGCATTGTTCCCGGAGGGCCATTTCTTTTAAAGGTGTTTTTTGCATTTTTCTTTTTAAAGGATTTTTTTTGGTTTTTCAGAGTGGGTGGCTTTTCGGCTTTTTGGCTTTTGTGGCTTTTGCGTGGGTTTTTGTGGCTTTTGTGCTTTTCAGTTCGCATCCTCTGCATTCACAGTTCCTCTCCGTTTGTCTTTTCGCATCCGGCAGGTGGCTTTTTGGCTTTGTGGCTTTTGGCGGCTTTCTGGCTTTGGCTTTTCGCATCCTTTGCTTTCCCAGTTGGTTTTTGGCCTTGGCTTCCTGCATCCTCAGCATCGCAAGACCTCTCTGGTGCCCCCTGCCACCCCCCTTTCGATTAAAATGCACGCCTAATTGAATCATCACTTTTTCGATCATCATGCGATGGCACTTTTTTAGATTCTTTGCCCGTAATTGTTCGATCATCATGGGGGGCTGCCGCCCCCCCCCAACCCCCCCGCTGCTTTTTTTTTATTGTATATTTTTTGGCTCGGATTGAATCATCGGCTTCGGTGAGTTTCTCTCTAAGGATGCCGCTGCAGTCGCGTGTGGCTCCACACCGTCCCACCTGGCCCTGGCCTCAGATGACGCACCAGGCCCTCAGACCATTTGTTTTGTGTATCCGTCGTGATGTCGCTGCCACTCCTCGGCTTTGGTAAGTTTCTCTTCCAAGGATGCCGCCGCCTGTGGCACCACGGCATTGAACCAAGCTCCAGCCTTAGCTTGTCGCAGTTCGTTCGGCGTTGCTGCTCTAAGGAGCCCGACGCGCGTGGCTCCACACCATCCAACCTGGAGATGGGATTGGATGACGCAGCAGTTCCAGCCCATTGCCCGGTCGAAGCATTTTTTAAATCTCCGTGATCTTTTGCTTTGCGTATCTGTATCATGTCGCTGCCACTCCTCGGCTTTGGTGAGTTTCTCTTCTAAGGATGCCGCTGCAATGCTTTTCCTGCGCGAAGGAGCCTGGCGCGTGTGGCTCCACACCGTCCCACCTGGCCCTAGCCTTAGATGACAGCAGTCCCAGCTCATTACCTGGCGCCAAGACCATTTTCTCTGTGTATCCGTGGTGTCCTCGGCCTTGGCTTGGCGCAGTTGTCATCCTGCGCAGGAGGAGGTCGCTGCTATTGCTTCCGGCTCTCTTGCCCGAGGTTAGGCAACCAGCAGCACGCAGAGAAGATGTGGAAAGAGTGCAGGCCTCAAAAACTGCTCGCTGTCCAGGCCCGAAAAGCAGAGTCATACGACCGGCTGACCATGTACGGGCTGCTGAGCAAGCCGCGTCGCTGAGAACTTGCTGAGGCTGAAGCCTTGCCTCGCTTATTGCTTCTATGGCTCGCTGCCGAGCAGACTTGTCGTGGATCTTTTGCCTTGTTTCACTTTGCGGGAAGAGCCCATTGCAGCTGTTTGTCCAAAAGATGCCTGCGATACGTCGGGCGCAGGCTTGTAGGAGCAGAGTGCACCCAACAGCGCGCGCTTGATTGCTCCTTGCTCGAGAAGTTTGGCGCTGAGCTGCGCAGATGTCTGTTTTGCGTTTCCCGACACACTCAGGTACACCGCATGTGGCAACCGTTGGTGTTGGGCCATTTCGAGGGACTCGCGAAAGACCGACAAAAGGTCATGGAGCTTGTTGCAAGGGTTCCGCGCGTTCCTTGGCGAATGGTGACTGCTTTGATTTAACGCTGCTGTAAGCCTGCCAGTGCAAGTGAGCTGCGGCGAGTCTGCAGTAGCTGAAGCGGCTACAGCAGCCGCAGAGCGCGCGCGGCAAACAAAAGGGTGGCGATTTCCTCACGGGTTTTCGAGAAACAGGAATATGGAGCAACTGCCAGACAAGGTCGCAGAACATCTAGCGCAAGTTGGCAGGGAGTGGACGGGCCGCTCCAAATGATAATATTCCTCTTAGCTTGCCTACAAAAAACTTCTGCAGTGTGACACGTATCGGAACTATCAAGACCTTGGCGGGAAAACATGTTCTTGTGCGTTGGTTTACTTTCAGCAAAACAGTCTTTGTGTGTTTTTGGTTTTTACTGAGGGGGGGCTGCGCCCGCCCCCCCCAACCCCCCCGCTTCTATGTTCTTCCGCTGCGCCTTCTTTATGGACCGGTTTCCAGCCTTCGGAAAACCGTGCGCTTTTTAGATTGATTGAATCAGCACTTTTTGGATCGCCATGAGGGCTGCCGCCCCCCCCGGCTGCTTTTTGGATTTTTGGCAGAGATTAAAATGCAACCCTAATTGAATCATCACTTTTTCAATCATCATGGGGGGGGGCTGCCGCCCCCCCCCCAACCTCCCCGCTACGTTTTAGGTGTTTTACTGGGATTAGGTTGCCCGAATTGGAATCCTCGAGGGGGACCCGCCCCTCTTTTTAACATGCATACATAAATGCCTACCTACCTTGCCGCAGAGGAACTGATGATGCTGAAGGTGCAGGAAGCCAAGGCCCTCGATTTGCTGGTGATGCTGGGGATGTTGGCTGGACATGCGGGGGATGTTGAAAACGATGCTGATGATGTTGACGAACTAACGTAAAATGCGTACATTTCGCGAGAAAATGCTGTAAGTTACAGCATTTTAGTAGCCAGGCAAACAAAAAAAGAAAATAAAACAAACAAATCCCAAATTAAATCTCGACCCATTGTTCCCTCCAAACTCCCTATTCAACACCCGGTCTATGGAATCAACTTTGGTCGATTTTGGGCCGCAGAACACCGTTTCGTCTTGAGGATTCGGTGGATCCCGCGTGGGAGCGTGCTCAGCTTGGCAAGCCATGCCTGTGACATGATTACGGCTGGTCAACACATAGATGGGTTGTAGGGGGACCCCCCCAAAATTGTGGTTTTCCCTTTAGTTTCGCTGAAAATACTCAAGAAGGGGACCCTCAAAAAAGGCAAATTCATAGCATTGCATTCCGAACTACAGGGCCTTTGTCTTTCAGGAGGGGCCTCTCGACTGATGCGGTGGGTGTGACCCCGAAGGCCCCGTCAGGACCTTTTGGGCGCAACATGGCCATGGCTCCATTTTGGGGTAGGTGCACATGGCCATTTGACCCATGGCCATATGGGTGTAGCTCAGGACTAAAACAGCTGGGGTTCCGCAGGTTTTAGTCTTTGTTGGCATACACCGTGCCAGTGTGCAGGGTTCCATGTTCTGAGCCGCAGCTTAAAACGTTTTTTCCATGATTCCTGCGAAAGGTCGATCAGACCTTTTGCTCGAAGGGGGGGGGACCTCAAACCGTTCATAAGAAAGGGGAACTGACCCCAGAAGTGTGGTGCAATACTTTCCTCTTAACAACACAACTTTCAACTTTTTTGGTAACATGGGCTATATGTCTGTAAACGATTAACTTCCCCAGGTTGCTTGGAGTTTTAAGGGGTAAGAATAATACTCATGCTTTCATGGGGGATTTTGAGGGTACCCTGCTCTTTTTCAGGCGCTTCGAGAATATCCAGCTGCAGGACCGGAGGCGTTCGAATTGCAGTTGCACCTGGATGCCCTTGAGCTGCAGCCACCCCCCACTCCAAAGACCCGCCTTTTTGGTCCAGCTAAAGGCTATTTGGTTGGAGCTTTGGAGTTGAACTTTGTGGGAGAGTCCCAAAAACATGCCAGGCTAACAGGCAGGCGCAACCTTGAAGCGTACAGGCTCAAAATTAAGGAGCTGGGTTACGCAGGTGTTGGTCTTTATTTCCATAGAAGCGGCCAAAAATGCTACCACTTTTTTGAGCCACAGCCACTTGACAGGACAATGTGCAGCTGTTGCTGGAGTACGCCTGCAACCATTCCCAGGCGTGAGTTCTCTCAAGCGCGGCTCGCTCGGGCTAGCCTGGGTTGGTGTATCCGTGAGTTTGGGTTGGATGTAGTACCTGGACCCTCAAACCACCCATAAAATGAGTTGTGCCCTGAAAAGAGGGGTGATTTTTTGTTTAATGGGCAGTTTGAGGGTGCAGGTGCGCTTTTTGGGTTGTTTTTACGAGTTGTGCCCCTTCGAGTTGAATGGGGCATCCTTTGAACGTCACGAAAAAAGCATGAGGGGCTGCCTGTAACTTGATGGTTCCAGCCATGCCCTTGGTTTTTCGTACTTTGTCTCAGGGTTGGTGGTAGCTTCCACAAAACGATGACTTTAAGCAGGGGGTTTGGGAACAGCCCAGATTTGGAGACCCAAGCGTTAAACTCCAGCAAACGCCCTGTTTTTGGTTATTTTGTGTTTTTTTTTTTTGGGGGGGGGGCAGACGGCCACTTCCCCTCGCGCCCCTCGCGGCTTGCGCCTCGCGGGGAGGTCGCGGCGAAGCTTCTGGCGGCGCTGCCGGAGCTGAACGCCGACGAGGCGGCGCGGAGGCCCAGAAAAAGACGCGCAGAAGCGGACGGGCGGAAGCGTTGGGCGGAAGCGGACGGCGGAAGTGGTGGGAGCCCAAAAAATTCGGGAGCGTACCCGAAAAACGAGGGGGTTGGGAAGGGGGGTTGGGAAGGGGGGGTGGGGGAAATGTTCTTTTGGGGAAGAAGCCAAAAAACTAGGGAGCTTGCCCCATACTCCAAAAATTGGCGGAAAATTGGGGGAGAGGGGTAAAGAAGCCCAAGAAGCCAGGGAGGTTGCCCGGGGTTTTGTTGGCGAGGAAACAGAGGTGCATCCTGGGTGCCGGAAACGGCAAAACGTGGGATCCAAGGGACGCTTTCCAAACGAAGCTTGAAATCTGTTTTGCGACCTCCGCTCAAAACAAAGTGCACTTTACCCCGCCCAGGTGTTTTGATTGCAATCCCATCGACGACCAAAGCTCGGAACCGAACATGTATTCTCCTCAAATGAAGCTTGCAACCCCCAAAACAAAGTTCGCTTGAGTGAGCCACGTCGCGAGGCGCATCCCGTCAATTCTCATGGTTTCCCTTCGTTGGATGGAACAGGTTGTATAACCGGGACGGGAAGGAAGGAAGGAAGGAAGGAAGGAAAGGAAAGGAAAGGAAAGGAAAGGAAAGGAAAGGAAAGGAAAGGAAGGAAGGAAGGAAAGGAAGGAAGGAAGGAAGGAAGGAAGGAAGGAAGGAAGCAAGGAAGCAAGGAAGGAAGGAAGGAAGGAAGGAAGGAAGGAAGGAAGGGAAGGAAGGAAATGAAAGGAAAGGAAAGGAAAGGAAAGGAAAGGAAAGGAAAGGAAAGGAAAGGAAAGGAAAGGAAAGGAAAGGAAGGAAGGGAAAGGAAAGAAGGAAGGAAGGAAGGAAGAAAGAAAGGAAGGAAGGAAGGAAGGAAAGGAAGGAAGGAAAGGAAGGGCCACCTCATGATTTGCAGTTGAGCCGCAACGAAAGTGTAAGTTGGGGACACTCCCCAGATGTGCTTACAACTCCTTGTGAGTGTCATGCTTCCCGGAGCAAGCCGTGGACATCTCTAAAATATTCTGAGGGTAGAAAGAAAGAAAGAAAGAAAGAAAGAAAGAACGAAAGAACAAAGGAAGGAAGGAAGGAAGGAAGGAAG